ACTTCTGTACTACACGTAGTGCACTTTGGCGTATGCCATGTCTTCAGGCATCTTTGCAGGCAAAAGAAATGGCTGTTTAAAATCTTTAATCTTTTAATCAAGCCTTAAGCTGAAAATGAACTGTAAAAGGCATTACAGTAGAAAGATGAACATTAATTATTTTGGCAGGTCTTAAATTACATCCCAGCCAATCTTATTAGTAGAATAATTCTGCATATAAATATTAGGTCTAAGTCATTGCCCATGTTATCTGCACCCTTTTTTGTTATATCCAGAGAAAAATTATACCAGGTCTGTTCAGGTGTGTATTAGTCTTGTGGCAGTTTCATGAACCTTCAAAGTCTGTCTGGTCAGTTTTTGTTTGGAATTCATTTTTGTTTGGAAAATCATTTTGTGAATGATTTTGGATGTCAGGTGTCGCAGTTACAACTGTCATAGCTACAGGCTTGGGTCTTAAGCTTTTAAATCAGGCTTCAGAAAATAAACCAGTTCTGTGCATGTAGTCCCACCTACCCAAAGTCTTCAATATAGGGAACTGTCCCAGTGAGGCATGAATTCATTTTGCTCTTTCCGTGAGTTATGTGAACACCAGTGTGCAGAATAAAGCCAAAATTCAAAGATATCACAGTAGGTCAGTCTTCAACCACTCTCATGCTGCTATAGCACACGTTGTGTTATATTTCTTGGGGAAAAGGCAGTGTTACAGTAAATCCTCCACTGTTGTGCTGTTTTTCTGTACTAACAGCTCATATGCAGCCTCTAGTGACAGATAGACCTTACAATTTACCAGAAAACTGAAGAGCTCCAGGTAGTATGTGTTTATTCAATAGCTTAGTCACATGAGACCTACCTGTTAATACATGGAAATTTGTCTTTTGCATATGTTGTAGGAGCCTATTTACCAAGTACAGGAAGGTTTTATCCTTCTTTGTGAAGGTATATGCATGTGCTTCTCTTTCTTTGAATCCACTATCCTGAAGCATCCCTTGCCTCTTCCCAAGGCAGCCTCACACATGCTACTCCGTGCCCTGGGCGCGGGTTTCCTGCCTCCCTCACCTTGGTGCAGCTTCCCACCCCGTTCCTGGCTGGACTTTTACATTTGAGCCACCCTTTGACTTTAAATAAGTTTTTAATAAACCCCACAGTTTTAATAAACTTTAATAAACCCCACAGTTTATTGACAATGCTTTTTAGCCAGGCCATGAGCTTGTTGCAAGAACTGGCTTTTCTTGGGGTTAGTCACTGTGTGCATTAACTTCAGAAGAGCTCCAAACACAGTTCAGGCTTGGCACAAATAATTTGGTTTACGTGTCCACGCTTGAATCTCCCAATGTATGTAATTTTGCTCCTGACTGGCTGAGAATTACATAACTGCTGTTTTCCTTGGCTCTTCTCTTCTCCTGTGCTTTCAGCCTGTGCTTCTGTCATCTACTGGTTTGTCTCTTCCTTTACCCCATACATGCCTTGAAAAAGTAGGTCTGCCCTTGTGCTGTTTCGGTAGTGCACAGGTCAAAGGATCTGTAGCTTCCTGAGGGCCTTCAGTTCCCCTGTGGTGCAAATGCAAATCAACACAGTTTATTCCCATCACCCCAGCCATTTACACAACCTATTTATTGTTAGAGCAGTATTTGTATGGCAGTTTCAACACAGAAGAATGTGTTCACTGTTGTACAGAGGCACCTCTTGCAAAGTCACAGTCCATTTCCTGGTAGAGCTGAGAGTGCAGTGCCCACTTTTCCCTTGTCCTTCAATGGCAAATTCCTCCCCAGTTCTCATCCTGCATGAACAGCCTGATGGACCACAGGTGGGCTTTGGTGGTGCATGAGCTTAGAGTTTTCTTTTGCTGATCCCTAGTCGCTTGATATGTTCATCACGAAGTTTATAAAAATACTTGAGCCATGACATATAGCTCTACTTGGAGTATTTAAACAAATAAATTTCAAAGATTTATAGACAATCAGTGTCTGAATCTATCATGAAAGAGTTGTATTGGCAGAAAAGGATCTCAGCAGTGCAAAATTGGTGGCATGGGAAGACTAAATAAGAGAGAGCGAGAAGTAACATTGCATGTCTAAGGTTAGTGCACCAATACAGCTTTTTAACCTTTAGTATCTTCTTATTGAATGATAATCTGTATGATTCTCTTTCGTTGTTTAATAACATTTCAGGTTGTTTATTTCCTGCTGCAGCTGTTCGCTGGAGCATATCCTCTGGAAACAGTGCAGCTGCGGTGTTGCTGCTTTTAAGCTGTCATTAAAGGCTTACAGGAGCAAAGCCTCTCACCTCCCCACACCCCCAGCCCCAAGGATGTACTTGACTTGGAGATAAATGTGGTCCAAGAAGACAGCAAACTGGTCTGAGGACTGTAATGATGGAGTAGGACTGAGTAAAGACGTCCAGCATAGCATTAATAGATATGTGACTGTCCACGTTTCATTTAAAATATTAAATAGTGATGTGGAGTGAAAAAAGAAAATACCTCATTCATATTAGTCAACTGAGTTACTCTTGCTGACAATATAAAGGTCATGGAGAGTGAGAAAGATTGCAGAAGCAACAAATGTAGCTGGCAAATAACAAGCCTTTACAAAATAATCCATATGAAGAAGACTATTTTGATTGTGAAGGACACACTGGTAAGCCAACAATACAGAGAAAGCCATGATTTAATCGTAGCAGAGAGTAAATTATACCAGGGTATCCATATTTTGTGCAGACTTACAATTCCATCTCTGGTCAGAGCACAGGATGTCCAGGGCATTTCTCTGTGTTATTTACTCATCTGCAGGTATTTTGCAATAATTGATTCAATCACAGGATCACACAATTATGTAGGCTGGAGGTCTGTATGTGATCTGGTCCAACGCACACCACTCATCCCACTCCAACCCCAAAGCAGGGCCAACTTAGATCAGATTGCTCATGACCTTGTTCCTTGAGTTTTGAGTACCTCCAAGTCTGTTCCAGTGTTTGGCCATCATCATAGTGCAAAAGGTCTTTCTAATATCTAATTGGAATTTGCAGTGTCCCAGCTTGTGTCTGTTGCCTCTTGTCCTATCACTGTGCACCTTCAAGAAGAGTCTTCAGCTTGTCTTGTCTACATCATCTGATGCAGACAGCAGTTGTGGACATCAGTAAGATCTCCCCTTAGCCTTCTTTTCTCCAGACTGAACAAACCCAGTTCCCTCAGGTTCACATCATGCCTCCCTGACCCTCTTTCAGCCCTGTACAGGACTTGCTGCAGTTTGTCACTGTCTTTCCTGTACTGGGGAAGCCCAAAACTGGACACGGTACTCCAGATGGAAGTCACACAGGTACCAAACAGAGGGGAAATAATCATGTTCGTCAAGCTGTTGGCTACACTTGTGTGTGATACAACACAGTATGGGCATACTGCTCACTCATCTTCAACTTGCTGTCCACCAGGACCCTATGTCCTTGCAAAGCTGCTTTCCACCCAGTTGTCCCTCAGCTTGTGCTGTTGCATGGAGTTGCTCCATCCCAGGTGCAGGACTTTGCCTCTGCCTCTGTTGAACTTAATGAGATTTCTGTCAGCCCATTTCTACAGTCAGATGCCCTGTGAAGGGCAACCCTGCTCTCCAGTGTACCAGCTGCTCCCTTTTATTTAACACCAGCAGTGGACTGGCTGACTGTGTAATGCACCTCATCATCCAGGTCATTATTAAAGGTATTAAAACAGTATCATCAGCTCCAATAGCAACCCCTCAGGAATGTGATTAGTAAATGGCTGCCAGCTGGACTTCATACCGCTGTCTATCAGTGGTTTGCAAGTCAGCAGGAGAAAAGCAAGTAGAGGCTATAATCTGAGCACATTTGGCCCACAGTCAAATTTTGTGTTGATCTGAGTGTTTTGGAGAGCTAGTGGTAAAGTCTTTACAGTTTTACTTGTTTGCCTTCTATGTGAAATCAGCAGAATTCTC